GCAAATACATTACTGTAATGGTGTGGTAAATAATTAAATTATTACTTACATCTCAGGTATAGTTGGGAGTTACATATGTCTGTATAAGACAACTTTGCAAAAAGCTGCCTGCCAAAACAATTAAATTAGCCTATCTTGTTTTCCGGGCTGTTTATTTTAAGGAAGATATAGCACTCGACTTATTGCGGTGAGGAGTTCGATGCCTAGTAGTGCACGAATAATATAAAACTATAAATAGATTTGAAACTATTCTCTTCAGTGAAAGAAAATGTTGTGAAGTAACCGTCATACAAACCAGGTCAACAAAATCTACCAAAATTTAACCGACGTGACCCTAAAGGCTTGACGAAAGACTAAGGTTTCTGGCTACTATAGGAATTGCTTAAAAGCTGATATAAAATATGTTAATTGATTGCGTATGTGTATTTTCTGTGTGTGATTGTGTGTGTGTGCTATTTGCTTTGTATCATACACACGCACAACACCGATTAATTGTTAACTTAGAAAAGCGAAGCATTAATCAATGTAATTTAATAAGATCAAGTAAGAAATATTCGCACTAAATATACGTACGACATATCGTGTGAACAAGTACAAAGGAAGTGGTGGACGTCTAAATCAGGCGTGTCACACGGACGTACGGACGGCAGAGCACAGATAATAAATCGTTCGAGATGAACATATCACTATTTCTTAATAAAAATATTAACTCCACTATTAATGTTACTTTTTCATGCTCAAAAACACAAAAGGTTACAAACTGAATGTGTCCATGCTCCAGCCATTTTTAACGCGTTTCAAACCATTATTTATATCGCGTTTTAAACCGTTAAAGTGTTCCATTTAAATAACCAAATTTTCCAAACGAAGTCCAACATGTTTCAGAAAAATTATAGATACACCAAGAGCACGACAAAAGCCCCCCCTTCGTCGATTCTTAAGTACATACTTTATTTTATACAAATTAAATTAAATGCTTACAAATCTCGTAGATATTTATTAGAATTAAATTGTGTGATGTTTATGGTAAGAAACAACTATAAAGTTTTTACAGGAAGCGCTATTCATGAAGACTCACTGACAACGAGAGCGATCGGACGGCAGGTGCTGTACAGTCGCGATCATATTCCGTTTCACTTATATCGGACTATTATAAGTGCCGGCCTAAAAGTATATATATCAATAGTATGTACACTCAACCACAGTGCAGTGTACCAAATCCCGAGACCGAGAGTCGAAAGTTCGATTTCAAGTTTTACAAAAAATTTTGAGTACGTAACGTACGGTGAAGAAAAATATCGTAAAATTAGTACCAGTAAGTAACTGGCTTTGGTTCTAACAATAAGCGTAGTAGAGTAATATACTAAGTCTAAGTATGTAATATATTATCGAGAAAATTAAATAAATCATAGGTCTGTATTTTGTACGCGCCAGTACGGAGAGCGACGACATTAATGGCGGGATATGTGGATTAAAATTGATTCGCTTCCCTTCGGCAGATGTCTCCGGACTTATATAGTGAAAGTAAATCACATAGTGCGTGAAATTATTATTAATAGTTTTTATATAATGTTACTATGTAATAAGTAGATATTTACAATCAAGACCTGATTATTTTGCTACCAGTAAAACCTTTTGATTTTAAGACGATGTATCTTTTTATAATGCAAGCCTGTGTTGAAACTTTCTGTCTATATTGTATGTAGTTAACACAGCACTTATTTAAAGCAAAGCATCCGAATCGTCGGGCCGAAGTTAAAAATAATTTTAAAATAAGTTTTACTAATACATCGCGTTTTAAACCGTTAAAGTGTTTTATTTAAATGTGTACTACTCGCGTTAACTATAGACAGTATTTAATTTGGTTATTATTTGGGTGCTAGAATTTAGAAATTTCATCAGCGTAACGAACCACCGTCAGATGAAAAAGCTTTGAAGTTTAGTCAGTGAATTTCCAAATATCTGTCTCATCTTGTTTAAATGCTATATAACTAGCATATTTCACCTTCCATCAAGTGAGCCCTATACCTGTCCTTCTCTATCGAACAAAAAATGAAGTGCGATATCGACAAAGAATTTAAAATAAATGATAAATCAATCACGGAAAACAGAAACAATTAGAATTAATGGTAATGTTGAGATCTATTGTCGTATTGAAGTCAAGATGGAATAGTGGTCTTTATCTAATCTCGGTTCATAAATTATATGCGACCACGTTGCGGGGAAGTTGTTTCAGATCAATCATATTATTAACTCGCTTCTGTTATTAATAAAGCATTCTCTTGTCTATCTCCTCTGTATGAGTGCAGGATTATGTCGTTTTCACTGTCATTAATGGCGTGTGAAGAAATTCTGACTGATAGAAAGAGTCGAAAATATTTACTACTCGGGCATGACTTGAGTAGCGAGTCCTACACGTCATCGTCGAATTTTTTCAACCTATTGCTACATGCACCTCTCGCGCAATGTAATTTCAACCTTAACACTTGTGTATTCAAGTTCAATGTTGATTTTTTTTTCGATTTTTATTTTTTTAGTGCCATCATGTGAAAAATATTATTACGAAATTTCGATATTTCGAATCTCGACACCTCCTTCTTAATATCATGATTTCCAGATGAAGTCCAATATGTTTTAAATACATACATGTATAATTGATTAGAATCGTGTTGGACCCGATGAGAATCTAACTTACGACACGTCCCGCAACGCCTTGATAACACCGGGTCTAGTCCAGTTTACCAATATTTCTCTTTTACTGAACTATTTTATATACATGTAAATTGCCCAAATTGTGCTCCATCGGACCGAAACAATTGTCTTATTATTGATATTTCCTCATAATTTTTCAACTTTGAAAGGTTTTAAGAATAGTAAAAAAGTGTTGTATGTCTGTTACAACTTTACGTTAGATTACGTGTAGAGTTTAACGTTAGGAAACCAAAGGGAATATCATATCGGTTTATGTCTCGGACATTTCAATAAATCTAACAGGCCATCGCATTACCTCAATAGTGGAATAAAGTTCCTTCGAATCGTAAAATAATATTGAAATCGACTTCCCAGATATCGCTCGAAGCGAAAATATAGTCAAACCACTTTGAACTCGAGTTTTCACAATCTAAGTGTTTCCGCGCCAATAAATAAATTCGTAGAAAGGCTGGATGGGTCCATTTGTGCGATAGACATGAAAACAACAAACCATCAATGTTTATTTCAGCCTAATGTCAAACTTATCCGCAGGCGTCAACGACCAGGGTCTGTACATAATGGATGTTTTACTTGTATAGCAATACACGGAATATTCGATAGTATAATTTATTTCTTTATTTAAAAATAAAGCTGTAACGTAAAGTAACCTATTACATAAAAGTATTAATCGAATAAATGTCTTATACTGTAGAGATGATGATTTTATGTTTGATAAAAATCGAAAATAAATTGATAACATTTTCGACTCGGGCAGGACTTGCGCGAGAGGTGCATGTATCAATAAGTTGAAAGATTTCGACGATGACGTGAAAGGACTCGGTAGCACAATTGGTAGAGCAACAGCACTTAACACTGACGATACCGATATAAGTCCTGCCCGAGTCGAAATTTTTTTCAATTTATTTTCGATTTTTAAAGTAAAACGCTTTTTTGAAAGTATTATAAAAAAGGAAAATTGCCTGAATATGCAATATCACACATATATTTGTTTATTGTTTAGAATTAGTAGCAATTAATAAGGCTTTATGTAATAATAGAAAAGTACTGTATAGTCTTCATTTACATATCTTGAAACTGTGAAACGTCCCGTCGCTGCTAGAAACCATCGGAAACGTCGGGTCGTTGTTAAACTTATTAGTGTAAATAAGTTTATCTAATACATTTCGGGTTTTAAACCAATCAAATCTTAGTTTAAATTTCGAACGCTTTTTGAGTGACTGTGCTCTAAAAACGTTTTTAATAGATTTTTCTTAGGTATTAGAAACGTTGTAGAATTTGAGTCCATTGTGGAACAGTTCCTAGTGATCTAGGATTGAAACGAGTAGACATTAGCGCGGGAACGAGCCCGGAGCGAGAAGATATCGCCAGCTCGCCAATCCGACTTAATTATCATGGACTATGCCTGTAAGCGTTACGTCAAACAACTGATAAACAAGAAATGCTTCGCTGGACTCACACTTTGAACACGCCCTTATATTATTATAAACTATTAGGGTATCCAATATGCGATGAACAGAAGTGGGTATCTACATGAACTTAGATTTTCTGAGGTAAATATTAATATTAATAAGGAATTTCCTTGGACAATTTTTACATTGCTTACAATAACACTAAGACAGTGTTTTTCTTATTTTTTGGTAATTTCTATTTTTTGTATCTTATTTCTGTATAATATTTTTTTTGTGACAATTATTTACTGATTTTGTTTTCTTGTCATATGTAAGACTCATTGCATCGTGGTATTTTTAATTAAAAAAAAAAAAAGATATTTAAGAATAGTTTTTTTCAAATCTCATACTATCGTTTAAAATGAAAGATATTTTTAACCGTTTTAAATTAATTCAAAGATTTACTCTTAAATATTAGCGTAGCGTTAGCGTATATTAAAATAAATGTAAGCAACTTTTCTTCCAACGAAAACCAATACCGATAAAAACCGTATTAAACCCATATCGTTTAAACTAAATCCGTCCCATTGTCCGCTGTTACCATAGGTCACAGATCCAGCAATCTGGAAATAGAGGGAACAGTTATAAAGCGAACAATGCCCACACAAATCAGACAGGATTCCTATAGTATGCCTGGCGTAGGGTGATAGCTTTAACAGTTGACAATTGGTGCAGACTTTCTATTTTCGAAAATAACATTGTTTATAAATTGTAAAATATTATAATGAAAAACTTGTATATTTAAATATTTATATGGACTTATGAAAACATAAACTCAAGTACGAGTATGTATAACTCGAATCGTATATAATTTTTTACAATATGGTGAGGTAGTTTTACCTACTTTACTCTCAATTTTATATTAACAATAGTCTCAAACCAGTTTAAAGCATTCAGCCCACCACACTGTTCCAGTGTGGATCGGCGAAATTTACCGATGACCGCTTCTAAATTAGCCATGATAACCAGAATTGGTAGCATAACGTTGTTCTCCGCCGCATAGTTAAGTGCCATCTCCTTCTTCCTAAAAGCTAGCTAAAATAAAAATATGTTCTTATTCTTCTTTAGATTAAAAATCGAAAAAGTTTTCGACTCGGGCAGAACATAAACCGGCATCCATCGTTTTCAAAAGGCCTTTCCCATTAGTTTAGTAATTAACTATATTTATTTAACTTCGACGAATATAATACGATACTTTATGGGCGTCAAATGTGAAACGCACCATCCTATGTCAGACTAAGTATATTACTATCGTGTAGCGTACATTTGCATTGCGTTGCGTGTCCACCGCCCACAGTATTGCGCTCTCTGCCACTCGCAATCGTCCAGAGATCGGCATTGCATTAGCTCCAACACCGCATTTTGAATTTCTCCATCTTCACACTGTGTTTGACTTATTGGCTACCAATGTTGGGGAGGAAAATCTCAACGTGCAGCTTTAACAATGAAAACGGAAGTTACATTTGTTCTTCTAATGTTATACATATAACTTCTCTTCTACGCTACGCTATGGGATTTTAATTTCAATATTAATAACTTTAATTAAGATTTGTTTAAATATTATTCTAACGTCTTAAAACATTTTTTTGACAACGAGATTTTATTTATATATACTATTTAAATAAATAAAACTTTTTTGATGGTTTAAAACGCGCAATATACTATTTAAACTTTGGCTAATTCTTACTACGATTCGACGTTTCGTATGCTTTGCAGCTGTCGTGATCACGGGGTTCTAAAGATGGAGAGTGTCCCTAATATCCCTGAAGTGTTAGTTGGTTTGTTTGAACGCGCCAATCTTAGGAAATACACGTTCAAATTTAAAATTAAATTTTGCGTAAGTTAGAGCATTTCTCGAGGCACGACAAGGCACCGACGACGTTATAGGTTACACTTAGATTTATAGAGTTGAACTGGAGGTTTACAAAAACTACGCGAACGAAATCACTAACACAACTAGTGTAATTTACTATTGGAAAAGGATGTATGGCCGGCACCCCTTAAGTCAAAGCCGAAGCCACAAATATTTAGTGCGTCTCCGAACCGGTACACTGACATTCCGGTAATCGATCGACGGGTAAGACGATCGTTGTAAGATGATACAGGAGATCATCTGTCGAATTGCGCACAGTACTGCGCCAGACCTTGAAATCTCACGGTACACTGCACTGATGGGTATCATGTTTGAATCTTTGTCGTCTTAGATTTAGTAGATTTTTTTAATGATAAGACAGACAATCCAGCACGGAGTTCACGTGATGGTCACGCCTATTAATCACAGCGCGTATGTTTTATACGAGGAAGGGTCTCGGTAAATCTAAATTAAAAAATCCATTCATTCCTGAGATTAGCTCCTTCAAACAAACAAACTTATCAGCTATTAGTATAGATTACAGCGGAGTATGTATATATGTACGCTTAAAATATCAATAAATAAATTTTCAATGCAATTCGATGGCTCAATTTGCAATACACATCGTTTGCAAGCTCATTATTAATTCAAGACACACTAAAGCAATATAGGATTCTGCGTAGGCGATCTTCGTCCTAACGCGAGACGACAATCATCTCTAAGACTCATACATTATTTATTCGTGTCATTATAAACGATTATACTAGACAATATCCTTATATATTCAATGGGTTGTAGGAATAACGAAAATTCCGGCCTGGTGAACCACCGAAAACAGATGAAAAAGACGTGAAGTTTTATTGCGTTCTTTGTAAAAGACTTTACCCAAATAAGACACTTTAACGGTTTAAAACGCGATTATATTTTGCAGCAGCAGCAAGGCATCCAAAACGTCGGGCCGTAGTTAAAAATAATTTTCAAACAAGTTTAACTAAAATATATCTCGTTTTAAACCGTTAAAGTGTTTTATTGAAATGTGTACTACTCGCGTAAAGTACAGACAGTATTGACTTTACCACATTTTACTAATTTATCTGGTAATAAAAAGGTTTGATAGAACACTTGTAAGGGATTAAGATGGAAAATATATAATGATTTATCTTTGATCAATTTAAACTACAACACAGGTACGGACCCAGATAATTTCTCCAAATACAAATTACAGGCAATATTTGCAAGCTGCTGTAAAACATCTGAAACCTCGGTCGTAGTTTAAGCTAAACGAATATATTTCCCAAATTGAAAATGTTACAATTTGAATATATATTATATTCCACTTCTTATTAGAACATACTTAAATATTGAAATTTATTTAGATTAGGTCTCGAACTCATGACTACAACACATCGTACACGGAGAGATTGAAAAAAATAGAGTTGTACAACAGACATTTCATTTTATTTTTACATAAGAAACATTGTATTTATTTATTATTCATAATACATAGCACAAAACAAAAACTATAAGAGATAAAATCTTACGTACTAACTTATCAATAAAAGGCGACCTCGTCGCTAAGCGCTCCGCATCCTCTTCCAGGCCTGAAGTATAGAAGACAAGAAATAAAAAAAGGCTTATTAATTGTAATATATAGGTTATTGTATATAAAAATATATAACTAGTAAACAAGTGTTTTAAAAGCAATATTGTACATTAGAACAGCCTCCAACAAAGTAGTTATCGCATCCACTTCATAAGTATTAGATGATTGGTCAAGAACGAATCTTGCATTTGCATGCAGTTTCCTTATTTGTCGAAGCAAGTATTGTGTCTTCCCCGCCAATAACTTGAGAATATGAGGCGTGTATTATGGATTGAGATAATTGAACCGTCAAATGGATACGGAAGACTATGAATATACATTTCGGAATATTCTATATACGGTGTACAGTTGGGAAGAGAAGTGTAAATGTCGTCGAATAATTAATAACCATTAATATTATATTAAGTAGTTGTTTTGATTGATAGTCTTTTTAATTATTATTATATTGTGTTGAAACTTATTTTTTCTTTTAATAGGTAGTTAACTATTAGATACGCATTGTCTTTGATATTAATATTCGTTATTAATAATGTATATTTGATAATAAAAGTAATATGTAAAAGATATCTATGTATTTAGGAAATAAATGTGAATGTTGTTCAAAATAATAAATAATAATTCCCACATAAATAGTTTTTAAAAAACATTACATTTTTATACACCGTGCATCAATCGACATTTTTACATGACTGTACTCTATTATCATTTAAGTGGTCCAATGATGTTTCACATACTTGTTATGATAATCATATCTCTATGATGATTATGATTTATGTACAATGTTATATATCTACGCAGCATTTTCGGAATAATTACAGTTGTGTCTTGTAATGTCTAAATACGGATAAAACAGTAATAAGATAGAATCGATATAGATTTTTAAACAACGAAACGAAATGAATTTTTTAGTTTAAATAAATTAATTATAAAGATTAAAATAACGCTTTAAAATTTCCCAGTCCGTATGACGTATAGGCATATATTACGGGTTCGATTCTTGCCTTAATAAAAAAATACAGGTCTACTTTAATTAGTTTTTATTTAAATACTGTCTATAGTTTACGCGAGTAGTAAACATTTAAATAAAACACTTTAACTGTTAAAAACGCGATATATTAGTTAAACTTATTTTAAAATGATTTTTAACTTCGGCTCGACGTTTTGGATGCTTTGCATCGGGGGGGGGTAAGGGTGACTTTTTTATTTAATTAATTCACTATTTTTAGGTGCCTTTCTTAGATGAGATGAGAAAAGCCTTAAGTAACAATAAGTCAAGATTTTTATAGACTTTTGTAACATACAATGTACTATGAAGCAAGCTAATTAGAAAACATCTAACAGGAATCTTGAGGTAGATTAATTAATCGTAGAGCAGGATTTAAAACATAGTAAGTGATGATCTAGTAGTAATTAGAGGAGGTTTTTATGGAGTTTCGACATAGATTCTTAATTCTTTATCCTTATGGAGAGCGGATGTCTCTTATCCTTAAGCGGACCTAGTAAAGTATGCAAGACGGTTAATTGATTAATTAAGGTCGTTAAACCTTAATTATTAAACATTATCTGGGATTTCTATTCCTATAGAGTTATAAAAAAAAACACTTTTACAGGTTAAAGAAGCGAAATATACGTGCGCCTGTAGTTTATTCGCGCAGCACACATTACACACACGCGAAATATATGTTTTCCGTTCTAAACCGTTAAAAATATTTTACTTACAAGCGACATATATTAAGAAAAAATATTAACTGCGATGATGTTTTGATTGCTTACAGCAGCCATAGTGGTGGAATGATAAAAATGCAGGTTTGCAACGACCAAGTGTTGTTTTTTTTTTTTTGTTAATTTTTAGGACTCATTTTGTCACGAAAAAGTTGACATCCATAAAACTTTCTTTTTACAATATTAGTAAGGTAAGATTAACTATCTTATTGTGTTAACAATCTTGCTATATTAACTTGAAATCTACTATAAATGTACTTAGGTCGACTGAAACAGTTTATCAATATTTATTTTCTCGCCTTCGAACTCTAGACCTCTCGCGCGCCAAACGCGACACGTTTACAACGCTACGAGGGCGTAATGAATTAGCAAATTGGCAATTTCGAATAAACAGGCGAGCAATAATCCCTAGAACGTGACTAGAGTCGCCGGCACTGGTTAATTTGAACAAAAATAAAGCATTCCAAATGACCCTGTGTGTATTTTAAAGCAATAGCTAGCTTAAGTGGGTCAAGCAATCGAGTAACTGTATCTCTCTGGATATAGAATACAAAGCTCTGCAGGTACGATACATCTGAGTGTGATAACGGCTCCAGCCGCGTTATCACCGCGCCCGTCCACTGTACAGTCGCCACATTCACTCCGAATCAACTGCGACCGAATAATTTTGATCTTTGCATCAAGAGCCTAAGGTGTAGATTTTAAATTTTGGACAAGTCGATTGATTATGAGTGACAAAGATTTATATGGAATTGATAGTTAACGACGCCAGTCGTTTTCGTTTGATATAACTTTGAGGACAAATCTAAGAGTGGTTGGAGGTTTGCGTCTTACTGCATTTTATTTGTGTATTATTTATGTCTGATTTCTAAGATATCGATGTCAGTATAATTTAGTATTATAATACTAACTTATTAATAAGAAATCAATTTGCAGGAGAATGTATTAGTCAAGAGTATTCATACATATATAAAATATTAATAGGACATGTAAAAATAAACTTAAACACAAACAACGTGTTACATACTTCTACAATGAATTATAGATGATTTCTTTTGTTTTTTTTAAGATTTAAAAGCTAATTTTTTACTGATCTAACCGTTTGGCAAATTACGAAAGTGTTATCCAAAAAAAAAAATGATGTCTAATCAAACTTCCTACA